TACATAGGTGGTACTAAGAATTACCACTGCTAAGGCAGTCTCCTCTCTGCAGAGAAGATCTCTATGGTGTGCCTCCACAGACCTTCCTCAGGGGAAAGCTGTGCAGTCCCAAAGGGCAGGATCAGGCAGAAGAGCGTGCTGAGTGCAGCCAACAACAGCAAGGGGTGCCTATGTGCTCTTCACTACTGACAACTAACACAGAGGCATTGCTGTGAGCACCACCAGCAATAATTCTCTACATTTCAATCTCTTTGGAATAGAAGAATGTAATAACAATGCAGGCTGATTAAAATACATATGCATACATTGCTTTGCCTGCTAGGTGGATAGATGATAAAAGGTCTGTTCTGCTGGGGAATATCTGAAGATGTGTACACTTTGCATTCTGTTGCTTTTATAGCAATGAATTGGTTATAGAATGTGACAGATGGCGAGAAAGGGTGCCAGAAAAACACACTGTGGATGTTCTTAAGTCTCTCTCTTCCAGGTGTTACATGGAAGTGGTCTCTGTCTTGAAACAGGACCCTAGGAACACCTATATATATATATAAATTACCATAGCTGAACAATTTCACTCAATTTGTAGATGTCAAATTGGATGATTTAATATTTTTCTGGATTAAGTTTTTAACTCTGTATGCTAGGGTTGGTGTTCTCGTATCTACTGGTGAGTGCCAGGCATAATTCACTTACAAGGTTTCAACATTTGCATCAAGGAGGCCAAGACAAAGTACTACATTGTGGCTGTGTGTGGATTTGACTAGCAATGTGGGATTATGGCATAGTACTTGGTTGCTTTTCTTACGATTAATTTTTGCTCTGCCCAGTATTTGTTTTAAACATACTGTAGAACCAGTTTATATCTATGCATGTGCATCAAGTGCAGGCTGCAGCTATTTGGACTTGAGAAACAAAAAATAAAATATTTGCTTCTATGACATATTCTCTGTTGATAGTAAGACAGCACACTTAATTTCAACACAGCAAAAGGGTAAACGACTCTGTGGGTAAAAGCTCAGTTCCAGAAAACAGCTCACTATGGCCTTTCAGGGAAGCATGCATCTGTGGCTTCTTGTTCGTCCTTCACAGAGAGGAAAAATAAAAGACTGTTACTAGGACTGAGTAGAGATTATCTTTTGTTGTTGTTCTTGTTTTAAATATGTGTTTTTGTGCATTAGACTATTAATCAGAATAAAAATGTTAATTGAAGACTTTCTGAAGATTTGAGCTGTTGAGTAGATAACTATGCCAAACAAAGTAGAGTTGATGCCATCATATACTCTATCTTAACTTCAGCTCTCATACCCTGTGAGCAGCAACAGACTGCTCTCAGCTCTGGGTTTTCTTCACATCCTGCCAATGACCTACTGTAAGGTCTTTCCCAGGTACTTGAAATATTTATGCCTCTTTCTTTACCTGCTCTGTTTTCTTAGTAGATAAGGTCTTCAGAGCAGTTATGTTACTGGGCATCCTAAAATTTCTCTTAAGCCCTCCGATCTCTGTGCCAGACATTAGACATATTTCTTTCTATTTTAACATAGTCTATCTTCCTAAAAGTGGCAATGATTTAAAATTAGACACTGAAATGAACAGATCTTGGTATTCTGTCTTTCTTTATTATGAAGTGAGGTTATTGACCTTTCAGTTACTGCTCTGCTGGGATTTTTGTAATGTTCTGGCATGTGAAAAGGTTTTTTTATTTAATTTATTTGGCACTATGACTTTCATATTTTTTTCTATGATTATAAATACATTCTATCCAAATTCTGAATCCACTGTGGGATTGTCCTATATTGACTGAAGGAAAATTAAAGCTAAAGATTATCAGAACACCTTAGACAGTCAGCATTTGACTCAAATGATCAAATCAGCAAAGTAGGAATGGAAACCACCAGTTTCAATAGGGTATGAGGCTCAGAATCTGTAACTAACCAGCGATGGGGAATAAGTCAGCTCTAAGACAGCAGAGTAGCAAAAAGCAACAGAAACCTTTAAGGAACAAATATAAGTTTCAATCGCTTTTCTTTAACTTACCGTAAACTTAGTAAATGTTTTCAGTAAAAACTGAAAGCCAGTGAATAGATGCATCAAAAAATTCTCTTGCTGCAGTTAAAAAGAACATCCTTAGCTTTTAATTTGAAATGTTTCTTATGCTCTTCATTTCCAAACAGAAAATTAAACAAAGACAGTTTTCCTCTAATCATCTCCCTTTTTTTTTGCATGCAAATAGCATCCTCGATCCAGATATTTACATAGCCTTAATTGTGCCACAATTTCATGTCTTATAACACATAACTGAATTATGGTGTGGCTGAATTAGAAATTGCAGAGGTCACTTGTGAAAGACTCATTTCCTCATATATGCATGTATAACCTAACACTGTTAGGCTTCTGATCAATAGAACAATAACTTAATTCTCTGACATTTTTCAATCTTCTTTTCAAAGACTTCAGACTGCTTTTCTAATGATAAAAAAGTAACCCTAAAACACAGCTGTGAGACTTGCTCGAGATCAGAGAGCAGACCTGCAGGTATGGGAAGGCGTGCAGCCAGTCTTCATGGCTTTGCCATGAGGCAAATCTGATTGTCAGGATGTAGTCATGGCACTGGCCTGGGATGGTGAAAACACTATATGAAAGTTGCCAGGTGGTCAGCCTCCCATGCCAGCTGTGACTTAAGGGATCTGAAAAGGCTGCCTTATCTGGAATATGTTGAGATGTGCAAGGATTTACCAGTCCTAATATATGGACCTAGAACAAATTCAAACTTGAAGGCAAACATGGCTGAGAGGGAAAGTAACCTGATGTTATGGAAGAAATAAAGTAAAATAAAAAAAGTAAGCCTTCTTAATATGAGAAAGGGAAACAGAAGGGGATAACAGCTGATACATGGTTCAATGTCAGGAAAACAGGGATATTACAAAAGCTAACCTAAGCCCATCGAGGCTAACTCACAAGGCACTTTTTATAGTTAAGGGAGAGAGAAAAATTCCTCTCCAGGGTGATTCCGAGCAGAAACTTAATTTAGTCATTATCATGAGGCAACCAAGAGAGATAAGTTAGTCTTTGTAATAATTTGTTCCTCAGTACATCTGTTACAGAATTTTATGTCATGGGGTTTTTTATGTCATGGGATTTTATGAACTTATTTTTAGATATCAGTTCATTGTTTTTGGAGTAATGTCTACGTATTTCTACAAATCTATCCTTACTTCATTCCTCTTACACTTTACTGGAAAATATAAATGTATAAAATGAGAAGCTCACAGCCTCTTATCTAAAACTAGGAGATTCCCAGACTAATAATTCCACTGCAGGACCACAAATGGAATGCCAGCAGCATTTCCTTATTCCAATTCCCCAACTTTGTCTCTAGAGATTTTAATAGAAAAGCTGAGCTGGAAATCATAAACATCATAAACAGCCTAGAATTAGACATAAGACATCATCTTACTCTTAATTGGCTGGAAAACATGAAGAAAAACTTAGGTCAGTTTTACTCCTTGGGCAATATAAAAGTCTGACAGAATCCAGCGATTGTTTAGCTGAGAGGAGGACTGCTCATCTGAGCAGGGTCAGGATTTCACCTTCTGATTCTAGCTCAGACATTAGGAAGCATGCTGGTGAAGATTTTCACGCTTCTGTCTGTTCATGGTAAGGCAATATGGAAAGTTTTAAACATTTTTGAGAAGGAAAACTCAGGCATGGAAAAAAAGATATGTAGGAAGCTGGGCTTATTGCTTTATGGCAGAACTTACTTCCTACCAAGTCAACCAAACACGCTTAGCAAAACGTGATTGCCTGCAAATAACCTGGAGATACCACTGGTCACAACAGATCAGAATCTCTTTCAAGTAGCTTTTGCTTTCATTCGGCTCTAATCTTTCAAGAAGGTTAGTATGTCACCTCAAGTTTCTACCAATTACACAAGTGTGAATCAAAGTGACTTTTGTGATACTGCAATCATATGCATAGCAAGTCCATCAGCAATCTGTTGTAACATTAATACATCAAATCTGTCCTGTTCTGTTAAAGCACTTTAGAAATGTCAGCTGTTCATGGAAGAAAAATATTAAACACAACAAATGCATCTGAAACTTGTTTTCTAAATATAAGAGAGTTTTTGTCCAGCTCCAAGTGTAAAAACAGATCTTCTGACAAAAATATTTTCAGCATTCCTACTACCAAAATTGAAATAATATCTGATAGTTTCCTCCAAATTTAATCTTTATTAAAAAAGGTCGCCATTGTGAAATCAAGTATCAGTACAATTAATACATGTAGTCTTTAAAAACCCCTACTGCCCATATTCCTTTTTTAATTTTGTAATACAGGAACACATTTCCAGCAAAATTTCAGTAGGCAGTGGTATAGCCTTTCAATTCTCTTCCCCTTTAAATTCCAAACCAAGATTATATCATAAAAATATGACACAAAAAAGAAAATGTCCTACTGATACAGAATTTACAGAATTTTGAGATGCTACATAATTTCCACAACAAGATAAAATATTGATAGAAACACCAGCTTGGAAACTGGTTTTACTTCAAAGAAAAATCAAGAACACTCCATGTTAGGCAATGATGTTATTTGTGACTTACCAGGCACTACTTTAAACATTTGCAATTTGATTTGAAAAGGCACTACTTTGCAACTTTTCTTGTGATAGCAAATATAGCTTTGCTAAAAGATAAAAATGATTCAAATGTCACAGGAAACAGTCTATACAATTTTCTTGGCTTGTTCTTTGGAGTAAACAGAATTAACTCCCATCTCATGACAAAGGAAAAAACAAAGAACAGTCTCCCACATTAATGAGTGAGCCAGTTCATAAAACAAAAACTATTTCATCTGAAAAAGTGTGCTTTCTCTTCTGGTACATAAAGTCAAACATTTCTTATATATGCGTAGCTCTGCATATAATTTAAAGAAGCAGTAGCCATTCAAATTTGCAGTTCTATCATGTAAAGGGAGTAAAGAAAATGAGCTTCAATACTCACATTTGGTTTTATGCTGCTTCTCCTGGTAACTTCTGCAGCAAAATAGAGGAAGAAATAATTACACGTCTTCACAGAAACAAGCATTCATCAAATCCAAAAGAAACAGAACACTTTGCCAGAGCTATTTGAGGGTCCCATCAGAATTTGGCTGGATAGAAGAAGGCTGAGGGTCAGTTTGTTTCCCTGAGACCTCATGACATGCAAATAGCTCGCTGCCTCACCACTGAATCATTTTTTGACATAGTGCATTTACAAATCGCAAATACATACCGTGTAGGAGGATCCTAAAGGAACATACTTCAGCCAGTTGTCAAAAAGAAAAAGGTACGTCTGCTAAAAACTCAAGAATCAAAACCCTTAAACTGTTCTGTAGATAGAAAAAATAAAATGATGGATCACCATTCGTCCCCAGCTACACTGTGGCCCACAAAGAAGGAATCCGAAAGACTTCACTTGGGCTTGTAATTCAGAGAAGAGAAAAAGTTGTGATTACTAACCTATGACTGTTGCGTACAGGAAATGGGGGTGGATGGGCAGGAGAAAGACTTCTCCAATTAAAGACTTCTGGGGACTGGGCTGAATTCCTCTGACACTACTAAAGCAATTTCTGGGCTGGAACAGATTCTCCCTTCCACTACACAGGAAGTGGCTTGTAAGGCATTACCATCTGTAGCATTAACAGGTTCTCCCTCAATATCCCTCAGTTCTGGCCTACTTCAAATCAGTCATCTCTTGCTGACCAGATAGCTTTTGCAGGCAGTCCACTACATACATGAAGTACACAGAGCATATACTTTGCATAAGACTTTCTAACCAATTTTAGCCAAGAGAAAGAATATTGCATCCATTTAAAGGAGTAGGCTGAAATTAAGCAGTGAAAAAAAAAAAAAAAAAAAGGATGGCCTCTTGTCTTATGAACTGCTTTAACCTCCAGGCAGATTGTTCCACCACCAAGAGCCAATGCATGTAAATCATTTAGTCTACAACGTCAAGTGGGTGGGAACTGCTTCGTTCCACAGGCAGAAGAAAGAAGGAAACATTTTAAACATGTGAAGATTTTGGCTAAATTGGCAAGTCTGGACAATTAGTTCTGGTGGTTACCTGTATCTAGCGGTGCCTTGCAATTAAGACTGATCATTTAATTGCTACTGCCAAGATTTCATCATCTCTATTCACAGCTGACTGGTTTATTAAACCTTTGCACACATTTTGTTTTGTACACAAAGTTGATTGAACTCTTTTCTCCTATGTCTGTACAAACTATACGCTTTGTTTATGCCAAGCACTTTTAATACTTATTTTTCAAGCTTGTTATTTTCATGAATTGGGAAGGGAGAAGACAAGTTAGGTCCAAATATGAGTCCAGAAAGTGAATCATCCTTTTGCCTTTACTTCCAAAAAGAAAAAAAAAGTCGAAAGCACAATTCTTGATCAAGTACCTTTTGAAGCCCACAATCAGAGCAAGCAAATATTATCCAAAGTGATCTGTCAAAAAAACCTAATGACACTCAGAAATAGTTCCAACACAGTATGTTCTTTCAAAAAGGATGAAAAGCATAGGAACATCCTTTAGCCATTACCTGCCTTTAACTTCAAAGACAATCCTTTCCATACTTTTCTTGCTGCAGATAACAGCTATGTTAATAGAACACATGCCAAGAGAAGTGTTTTAAAGTATTTTTGCCAAAAGATGCACACTGAATACAACACAAATTCTGCTGCTTCATTTCATAATTAATGATGTCTCTCACATCTCCTCCTGAACTTCCTGAAATAGAAAGCAGCTTTCTTAGACTGAGCCCAGATGTGGCCTGTCTTGACCTAGCTTCCTTTTCACATTGATTTGGAAGTTCACAAAACAAATGTTGTTTCTCTTTAAACTTCTCAAATTCTCTTCCCATCTAACTTCCTTTTTTTTTTTTTTTTTTTTTTTTTTTTTAAATAAGGTGTCATTCCTTGCTTAAATATTTAACCATTCCTATGAAAAACACAACCAATTTGTTGCTTTCCTCAGAAAACATCTTTGCCATTTACTGAACATGCTGTTACCTGGGTCAGCAGAGAAAGAATCCTGCGTACCAGTATCCTGTTTACCCAAAAGCTCCAGACCTTTACTATTTGCTATTTTTTAAGTAAAGCCATGATTCAGAATGTTTGAGTAGCACATATCTGGGAGCTCCAAAAGCACTCAAGGGGAAAATCACGATGTGTCTCATTCTTCTGTTCCTCCCTAGGCACTCACTTTTGGCCACTGCTGGAGAAATGATCCTGGGGTACACATTTGATCTGTCTTTTGTGTTTTCTGTAAGAGTACTAAACTTCCCATTCCTGAAAAAAAAATAAAACCAAGGAGCAGCCATTTCTTAAAGAGCCTACTCAGGAGCCTACAGAGCTTGTAGCTTTATCTGAGCAAGCTGTTAAGAAGGATTCATCCAGACATCATATCCTAATGCTATCACTTGAAAACTTGAGGAGTTTTGTTTGTCTGTTTCTGTTTGTTTGTTTTAAGAAGTTGCAGAACAGAATTGGAAAGAAGGCTGTAAGATCTAATAGAGCAACAGTCTGCTTATTTCCAGCAGGCCTGGAAACAAACAGCTACAGAAGTCAGATTTTGCCACTTAAAATTGGGGGGGGGGAGGGGGGGGAAAGGATGCTGCTGAAATTTTTTACTACTTACAGTTAAAAAATCAGTTCTAATTTGCTGACTGTAAAAGTAGATGAGATTGGGAAGCCTGTTTATATATATTCACATCAGCTTTTAGAAACTTTATAATGATGCTGCTTAAAGGCTGTAGGTGAAGAACACAAGAGGATCACACTTAATACTTAAAGTCAAATTAACAGCACTGATTTATACACCTTTATATTACCTTTCATTTTCCTAGCTATGCCGATAATTGGTTTTGTTTTGTGAATGGAATCTCTGATTTCTAAGATGAGAGTACTCTTACTCTCAAAAACATTTCTCATGGGTAATAATCAGGAAATTGTGAATGCTCCTTTTTGTTTCTCTCTCAAGATACTCCCATCTCATGACCTGAAGACCGATTTTTCACATTCAAGAGTGAAAAAAATATCTGGGAAGGTTTTCCAACCTTTCTCTACTAGAATTCTTAGTAGCCAGGAGATACCTCTGAATTCTAGTGTATCTTTCTTATCTAATTAGAATGATACATATATTTTTATCATTCTTATTATAATGGCTACCATATAGCAACAGTAATGCATGATATAGTAGATTGTGTAAGTTATTCTTATAATATGTAACAGTATCAATCAAAAATACAGGAACACTCAAAACAACATGTTAAATCAAAACGTGCATATAACCTTTTGGAAGCTGAAAATTGCAAGACTAACAATCACTGCTTAAGTCAATATTGCATTTTAAATACCTTATCAATTAATTTTATTAAAATATTTTCATATTTGCATATAGAATTTCATATAGCATATTATTTACAAAATAGATTCATGTTTTACAAAATTGTTTATGTTCACTGTAGGAGCACAGTGATTATTCTGGCCAACTAACAGGAAATCAAGCCTATTCTCCATATGCAAATTCTTTCTTAAACAAAGATAAATAGAGTATTTCTCTCTTACTCTTCAGTGTTCGCAAAGATAACCTCCAGCCAAAGAAAAGAACTATTTTTGGTTCTGCCTTACCTCTATTCCATCTGGCACAGTTTTTGCCTTACAATGTGTAAAACATCAGAATTATGAAGGGAATAATACTGTTAAACATTAGGTACTTTTATATATGGTTAAAATTCATCACAGTTAATCCATTACTGAGTTTTCATACTGGGCCTCATCAATGTATTTTTTGTTTGTTTGTTTGTTTGTTTTTTGTTTTTGCTAGCAGATATTTTTGATTAACCACATAGAATAGACTAAATGCTGGGAAACAAATATTTAAAAAAAATAGTAAAAATAAAAAATATATTTAAACAAAGCAGAACTTGTATAGAACCTATTTGCTCTCTTTCAGCATCAAAGAATTTTGGCAAAAATGGGTGGATGGCATTTTCAGATTTCTTGTCTGGCATGAAATCAGTGGGCATTACTGAAGTAATACAAGGTCAAGAAGGACCTGATACAACTATAACATTTCTGGTATGAAAACTACCTTCTCTTAAATACAAGTTAGAAGTGCATTTGACATACAATAATTATGTCAATAATAGTGGCAGAACTCAAAAGATTTTATTTTACACATTTTTAACCTTCCTCAAGACAAAGTCCTTGTGGAAATAAGGCAAGTAAAAAACTTGAGGGAAACATTCAACATTTAGCTATTTCAGATTAGACAAACAGTCTATAAAGTTTATGTAGAAAGATCTTAAATGTTAATATTTAAATTCTTTTCCAAAAACTTGGGGTAAACAGAACATCAGAAGTTCCCTCAAGGCAGCTGACAGAACGCAAGCACATGCTTGGTACAGCTAAGGGAACTGGACTGAGCATTCAACAGGACTGCTGAATGTTCACACAGTGTTAATTATGGCAAGTGAAATAGCATTTACCCATCCTCAAATTACCAATGCAAAGGGTTGCACCTCCTCTGTCCCAATTAAATTGGTTTTAAATGAGCTGCCATTACTGACATTAAAAGAATACATATAAATAGCATGGGTATGCTGATTTTTGAAAGATTTCAGTATACCTAGAGACTCATATAAATATTGGGTCACTTATTTTAAGTTTAGGAATATAACCTTGTACTTGGTGGTTTCGCTCTTTAGTAGAAAACAACCACTAATTCTATCAAAATGTAAAAATGGGCTTTCGTTTGTATACTATTTATAACAATTTTCATTTCAAACCTAGTTTTGAAATTAAGATATAGGCTTATGCACACTTATATACAACCCTGACACCATGACAAATCCAAATCAGAAGAGCAAATCTATAAACTTGTGCATGTAACAGAATACAGTGTTATCACAAGAGAAAGCATTTCTTGAGTCTTAAAGTGAAGTTGCAAATTAAAAAAACCCACCAAATTTATACCCAAAGCATCCTCTTCATCCAATGTATTAATATCTTATATGTACATACATCTTATATGTATGCTGTAGTAGTAGATAAACAAAACTTCATTTGTCACCATTACATGATGATGTGTTCCTTGGCTGTCATTTGCTAGAAGCCAAATATTAAAGTTTTTCAAGCATTTTCAAGCTGTATCATGGACGCAGACACACTCAGTAATCATTTTATTCCTCTGTTACAGAAGATTTTCTAGGTCTGAGAACAAGGTCTTTGACAGAGGTAGTGATTTCCTGGAGCTCCTTCCGAATGGTATCTGCTCCTTCTTCCTCTGTTTTATTGTCATCCTCCTGTTCTGCCTTCTTAGACTGACTGATCAATTGTTTCACTACTAATCCCTGGTATTTGATTAATAGAGAATGCTGATCCTGAGGGGAAAAAAACAAAACAAAACAAAACGTCAATGTAATGGAAAAGGTAACACAGACCTTTAACCGATTGAAGAGTAAATGTTAGAAAAAGCATCCTCCCATTCTTGTCTCATGAGGAAAGGGATAGACAAACATATTTCCATTGAAGTATTTTGCAACCTAAATTCTGAGAAACAGTCAGAGAGGGGGAAAAATGAAAAGTGCACCCATGCAGCAGGAACAGGACAATTAACTGAAGCAATAAAGCAACGTAGTCAGTAAAAACAATCAGTTTTGGTAGATTGGATATAGAATTTGAATCTTTCAATTTTTGGAGAGGTATCTCTTTTCTAAAACTGAATTAGAAAAGTTCAAAGCAATCACAGTCTAGCTAGGAGAAAAGAGAGAGTTGGCAAGAATTGTCAGTGATTTTTAACACCCCACAATACGTAGCTAGCTACAGATAAAGGCAAAAGCTTCAGTACTAATGACAAATGGATTTTATTAAAAATATTGAAAATACTTAAAATACATTATAGATCAGGCAAACTACATATTCTGCACATACAATAATATTAGACATGAAACACAAGGATGCCAGTCTTATATAGCAGCATTAGTATAAGTTCATTTGGTCACAGAAAAAAAAAGTACTTTCACACAATAAGGCCAAAAAGGAATACCTCTGGGATCTTGCCACTTAAGAAATTAATGATCTGTGGTACAGATCTTCCCGGTGCATGAAGCATACAGTGGGTTGAAAACTGAAATAACAGTACTGATGTCAGGTGCAGAACAAGAGCTGGATCTTCTGTTACTTTTAGCTGTTCAATCAGAGCTTGTCTGTGTTGAAACAGGACTTGCCTAAGGAGCAAGAATAGATTAAAATCCGTTTCCCATTCTGTCAGAATTCATAAAAGACTCTAAAACATATCTGACATTAAGACTGTTATTTTCTTCTCTGACTGACCAATTCATGATGTGATATTTGTGATATTCCTTATTAAAAGGGAAAACAAAAAAACACAAAAAACAAGAACGGAAGCACTGGTGGAGCTCAAATGCTGAAAACCACTCTAGCAAACTTAAATGTAATCAGTCAGCCAAATTAGCTAAATAGAAACTCTCCTGTCTGCCTTCTCCCACAAAATTAGGACTGCCCACCTTTGTATTTTTCGGATAAACAGTTTGGAAAGAACAATTGACTCTTACTTGCACAATCTATGTGACTGCTAGCAAATGAATCATCTGACATTTGTGCAGCAAGAGAGCTCATTTTCACATAGTGTACACAGAATAAATACAATTAAGGTACCTTTCCTTCTTTTTGTCTCCTTTTTTCACCATAATATCACAAATATCTGCTGCAGTATCAAGGTATGAAAGGAAATCTTCTAAACTCTATTGAAAAATAAAAGATGTAAGAATCTATGTTAATAGGCTACAAAATGAGCTAACTACTGTTCACAGCTAATCATCCCAAATACAACTGGAGTAAACTACAAAAAGAAAAAAGAATTCTAACTAAAGTTTTGGTTTTTTTTTTTTATCTTCCAACAGTTCATATATTTAAACATGCAAACTATGGTATAAAGATATCTGGTCTGAAAATAAAATACTAAAAAGAAACAAGTTTTGCAAATCCTTACAGATTTTCCTTCTGAAGAAACATACAGTAAGGCATCTTGTATATAAGAAGTAATAAATCACATTCCTTTATACTTACACTGCCATTATCTGTTGTGCATTTTTTTTTTTTTTTTTAATACTAAAGAATACTTAAAGAATACAGGAGAAAACAATCTTTCAGTTACAAGAAGCAAAAACAAATATATCACAGATTATCTCTCAGATCTTGTTTTTCTCATTTATACATAAAGATACACTAGATTCCCATCTGGAAGTAAACAGCTAGCTGACT